GAGGGTGGATCCGTCCCTGCCACTATACTTTAGGGGTGGATTTGGGTATTTTGCCATAATATTTTAAGATAATTGTAAAATTAAAATTTTATTTTTCAAGAAATTTAAATTTTTTAAGTTTAATATGTTAATCAACTTATTATTATTTATAATTTTATGATTTTTTTAATTTAAATATTTGTGGTTAAGACTATAAAATGCTTGATATTAATCAGTTACAATATTTTAACTAAATTTAGATATATATAATTTTATTTGTATATAAAAAATTAATAAAAATAATTATAAAAAAATAAAAATAAGGTTAACTTATGGGTTAACTCATAACTTGTTAGAGTCAGATTAGGATTTGATTTTTCTAATCCGTAATTTGTTTATAATCCAACTCATATAACCCGCCACCCAAATTAATCCAACTCAAACCAGACCCAACTCACTCGTTTGTTAGACCTAAGTTTTAGTTTCCCTATGATTTTGGATGGATCGAAAATCATTCTCATTTAACTATCTTGCTCACCAAATAGGGATGGGATAAATTAGTTGCTATATTTTTTACTTTAAAAGTATGTTAAATATTTTTAAATCTAAATTTTTAAGTAAAATGGATATTAATTTGACCAAATTCATACTAAATAATGACTTTTTTTCAGATGATAGTGATACACACCTCTAAGGATAAATTTAAAAAAGCATAGATTGAGTAACAAATTTATTTGTAGAGTTAAATATTCCAATCAATTATCAATAGTGTATTAAAAAAAAAAAAAAAGAAGCCAATAATATAGCATATGAGAGTTTGAAAAATCAAGGTATCTTGGTACTCAAAACATATATTATAGTAATTCGTTGAGTGGATTTCAAATAAAATCCACTCAATAAATAGTTATAATGGACGTTTTAAATATTAAAATGTCTTGATTTTCATATGTTTGATAACAAATAAAGAAAAAAAAGGGTAAATTACTATTAATAGAGTAATGAGGTGTTAGGCAAAACAAGTAAGTGTTATTGTACTTACTTTTTTCTTCAAAACTTATTTTCGTTTCCCTTTAAAGTTTAAATACTAAAACTAGTATTTTCCTTTTTAAAAATTTTCGAAACTTAAAAGATCAGGGTACTTACAAATAAGTATTATTTATAAGTTGTGCCAAACAGTCCCATAAGA